TGGATTAGTCTTCCTTTAGTCTTTGATGGAAGCCATCTTTTCCTTGGTTTGTTGCTTGTGCTGTATTTATGGGCCTACTGTAGAACTGGTGAAGTGGATGCGTGCGTATGCCTAGGAGCATCAACGATCGCAATTCAATGAATCAGGAATTACACACTACACGCTCTCCTCTTCTCATACTTTTTGGGCTATCTAGGGGTATGGCATATACGCTCTTATACGGTAATGAGCGTCTAGACCATGGCACATAACTTTAAATTTTGGAGTGGCCCATGTAACCCATCTCTCTCTGCCGCCAGCCCCACCTCACTCATCACTGAACTGGTCAATCACAACACCGCACCGCTGACTGCCTGTTTGGAGCCCGCCTACAGCCCCCCAGACAGAGGTCGCTCGATCTCTTCAGCTGTATCCGAGTTTGTAACCTTCCTTGCCCCGCTATATCCAAGCATAAATTGAGTTTACATGAAAAAAAGGGGGATTTCGGTAATGTTCTGCTAAAGCCGTGTTCTACTGTATTTAATACGTATATATCTGGAGTAGATACATTATTGCATGGAGCTGGAGGGTATGGAGGAACCCTGAAATATGAATGAAAAAGCCAAAATACAGCTGGGAGTTAAAAATTCGTAATGGCCACCAAGTCTTTTTTTCACGGGGTGCCAAGGACAGGGATTGTAAGTTCAAGGATATGCCATGCAATGTAAACAAAGGTTGATAAAGTCACAGGGGCTCGTCAGTGTTGAGTTTATTAAAAAGTGTGTAGGATATGTGGTGGTGGGGGGTTTATTGGCTGTCAGCTTGGCTCTAAAGACACCCCCCCCCCCCACCAAAGAATTGGGACTGGATGCTTCACAAGCTTTTGATTATCACTGTGCATCACTGTTACATGATGCTATGCACCTCAGTTGATTGTTAAAAGTTAGACAGCTGTACCTCCGAGTACCTGACTCAGTGACCTCTATCAGGGCGTTTTTCTACCTAATATGTTTGGACACTGGGGATAGATTAGGGTAGCAGAATGGCAAATAAAAAAAATAAATTGTAATCAGGTTTTACTATTGCATTTTCGTGAAATAGTAAGAAAAATGATCTGGTTAAAAAAAAAAAGATAGACAAATCACCGGGGAGACAGCCAAACGAACTTTTCCATCTACCCAATGCATATTACGCAGCTTATTTCCTTTGAATGAATGAACTACACAGCTGTAAGCTGACAAAACGCCTTTGGCACCAATTTTTTAAAATTTGCTATTTTGAAAGCATGATAATTTTTCCCTACTTGTGTGAAGAAATTAGTTTTTGAACAACGGAGTGATTATTCTCACCCGGGGCGAGGATAAAGTTGATATTATTCTCACCCGGGGTGAGAATAACGACAGCCTACTATTCTCACCCGGTTTTTTCGTTTCGGGGATCACAGGACCCCTGTCAATGTCACTGAGCGCAAGAGGCAACTTAAATCGCCAACGGCCAAATTTTCACCAAATAGCATCACCTTTTGTTGCTACAGTATTAATTTATTGGTTCTGTAATGGAAAATTTTACTCTTGAATGGTTTAACCAAATAAAATTAAGAAAAAAATAAGCCTTGGCCATGGCACTGCATTCCTTAAAAATAATTGTGGGTTCTGATAGGGATAACAATTCAACGTTTTTGTGTGTTGTAAACAAATGCCAATTTTAACATTACAATGACAAATTATTACTAACATTATTTCATTACACAGCTTTCAGCTAAGGCTATTATTTTTTTAAAACACTACTCTGGCAAGTGAATTCCTTTCTGAATTTAGAATATATTTACACTTGTCAAGGGTTTTGGTGAAGATATGCGTGCATACTCTCAACTCAAGATTTTTAAAAATGAAACAATAACAATCCCCGCGGGAGCCTAGAAAAATCGGCCAGCACTCTGGGGCAGGTCAGGAGCGGCCACTCTTGCAATGCACAAATTATTTTCTATCATCCGTTCTCAACACCCACATAGACCTAAAAATCCATTGCATTCTCAGACCGGGTGAGAATAACACAACATTATTCCCACCCGGGGTGAGAGTAAACTGGATATTATTCTCAACCAGGGTGAGAATAAAATTATATTTTTATTTTCACCCCGGGTGAGAATAACAACAGCCTTTTTTAATAAATTAGAATTCAAATGTCAGAATGACTATTACTATTTTTAATTAAGCCGACAAAAGGTCCCGAAAGAAAAAAAGTTTTGTCAGCTCAAAGAAGTACAGACAAAGCGACAAACCTGATGGTATTTCCAGTCTTCATGCGAACCCATTGTGGGATGGGCCTGTTTTGCTTCATCTTTCTCGCAAGCTTCGTCTTGGTACGGAAGGATTTGTGGGCACCCTGTGATGAGAAAATCCAAAAGATTTAATTACTTTTGTCTATAACATTTACACAAAACAAGCAAAGATGACAACAAAAGCAAAAGAGCACATTATGATTATTCAAGTACAGCAAACATTTAACCCACTTTGAGTCTACAGTACTTTAGAAAACACAAGAAATGTTGAAGTCTGGACTTACCCACCCCCCTCACACCACAGCAACATCAGACAACAACAAAAATACAAGCAAAATACATGACAGAAATCTTTCATAGCTTTTGCGTTTGGATCTTTTTTAAAAAGGGCCCAATTTGACTTGGCAGAGAATAAAAAAAAAAAGAGATTCTTGTCCAAACCAAGGAGGAGTAAATGTACAGAAAAAGGCTTGACAGGTGGAACCGAATTTTTTTTAACTTAGTCGATATATCAAAGCTTTCTAAAGGAGAAAAATTGTTTTATTACTGAGATATTCTTTGCAGTGTTCAATTTCAATGTAAAGGAATTTCACAAACTGCGGTAAAATTTTACTTTCACTCCCGCACACTGATTTGGGGGTCAAACTGCAGTATACTTTGTTGCTGCAGATCACACAAAGCCACTAAAATTGTCGCAAACCAGCACTTATTTTATTTATACCGAGAAGACCCGAAAAGACAGCCGAAAAGTTGTTTGAATGCGTGCCAGCTGGCCTGTTGGTTGCCTTGTCTTTAACTTTGGCATTATTTACTTGTCCGACGTTCCTTGCACCCTCAAGTGAGTCGTCCAAATTGTAGACTTCTGCCAGTCTCATTGTCCTCAGAGCTTCTTTCATTTTTGCCATTTTTCCAGGCAGCATTCTGATGTAATTTCCTGTTGTTACCCTACCTTGTGGCCTGGGTGGAGGACACTTCCCTTTATATCCGCAGACGGCCTTTTGCCCCCCCCGGGCATTCAACCCAAGACACTCTTCTCATAAGACCCGTCTTGAGTGTTTTGTATAGTACCGTTGCTAGAGTACCACAATTGCGGGATCTGGTTGGGGCCCAAGTGGAGTGAAGACACCTTGTTTTGTTTCACCTCTTTGCAGTATACGCCAGTGCGTTTCACGAGTCTTCAGATTTGTTTCCTCACGGATAAATAAGTCTTCAGCGATGGGCCGCAAGTACCCCATGCCCCACAATCATCAGGGAACAGAAAAATTTTGTTTGCCGCCCTCTTTTCGAGGTTGTGTTCGTTGTCAATGACCAAAAAAAAAAATCGTTCTTTTTACCAACAGGCAATTTTTGCAGCGGCTCAGCCTCTTCCTCAAGACTCTAGAATCTAGTAAGACATGCAGATTGAGAAATCGGCCGTGCAGAGGCCTCCCACCACTCACCTCTTCTGTCTCATCATCAGCCGACCCATCCCCATTATCATCGTCAACCCATCCATCCCCTTCTTCCCCATCATCATCGTCTCTCACGTCACCATCACCTCCCTCCTCATCGTCACCCTTTGCATCACGCTTGGGATAATCCCCTTTGCCTTTGTGATCGTTGTCACTGCTGACTGGCTGCACAAGAAAGTCTTCTCAGGTCCTTTCAGGTCTTCTCGGTATAAATAAGTGCCCTCGCAAACCAATCAACAAAATATCAAACTATAGGTTGTTGGCAGTTGAAGGGTGAGGACGTTAGAAAACTGAGCAGGAGTGCTCGGAAAGGAAGAATAGCGGACCACTATGACAGCGAAAGTAGTTCCGACCAGTGGTCCGGTTAAGTACAATCTTACCTCTAGATCTAATCTACATAATGGAATATTAGTCTAGAAACTTGAGGCAGCATTGCGCGGCCTTGTCTAAGGGCAGTGTATGGGCAAGCGAACCGCATCTGATCCTTGCCAAGCCAAGCAAGGCCAACAGCAGACACACCTCTCCTCCGCCTCCGTTAAGGTTCATCGCCATAGCCCAATGCAATGTATTTTTACATCACTGTACTCAAAAATTTGTAAATTTCTCCAAATACACAGGAGGTTTAACCTAAAGCAGAAGACGAAAAGAAGAGAATAGACAGAAAAGAACATGCGATGACAAATTCTACTCAAAGACGAGACACTCAGAGCTACTTTCATTTTCAGGGGTGTACAATTGAATCAACACAAAACTCCCATTTTGCTTAGCTAGTTCAATTTGTGATGGCCAACGTAAAACACAGCTTATAAATATAGATTCTGACACAAAATCAAAGACGGATGACAGCGAAAAGCAATGAATTTAAAAAAGATTTGGTACGATACCATTGTTGTGGTGTTCAACAACGGGAACAAGCGGAAAAGGACGGATATCCGGAAAATAATTGTGATAACGGGCTAAATGTGGGCAGAATCTTGACTTTTCAAATTCATGGAGAAGACATTAAAATGAATAATTCATAATAAAACATTTAAGAAATTGTATTTTAATTAGGATGAAAAAATATTTAAGCTGCAAAATATTTTGGGCTAATGATGAAAACAAAGGTGAGCTTTCAGTATCTGCGGCCCTAATAGCTTAGAAACTTAGAACCTGTTATATATTCATACACTAATTGAAACAAGAGATCTGTTTATTATGTTTACCTTATTGCTTGGGTAGAGTCATTAAACCAAATATTATGGTCTTATGCTTTGTAAAAAGATAAATTTAAATCTAGTATTAAATATAAGCGCAATTTTTTACATTTGCACTATATTATATCGGATTGTTATTAAGCGTCTTTTGCGGTGAAGAGGCCGAGAGCTGTGAAACGCGGAGGGTCTTGAGGCTGAGCGAAAGCGACAGAGACTCAGGAAACATAACATAATTTATGGAGGCATTTTACTTGTCATCTAAATCTACTTTTTAGAGGGATACAGGCATCTCCATATGTACTTATGGTATGGAAAGGATTTTTTGAAGTTTATGCTACCAAAAGTTCTCTAAATACAAAGATTCTGACAGCCATGCAAAATAATTATAACAAGAAGAAAAAGTCCAATAACATTACATTGATGTTATTATAAACTAACATCAACATGTACTAGGCCTCGTGCAGTGGTCTCTTTTTGTTACACATTTCAAATTTGATAAAACTCGATGAAGAGGGGTCTAAATGTCAAAGAACTCATAGTAACATAGTTGAGTTCTGGTCACCTCTTGTTTATCAGCCTCTTATAACTCTGACATTCCCAAAATGGTTTGACCAAAACATTCTCTTGTACTTGTATACTTAGATCTAAATATTTAATTGGAGTAGACTTATTGATCTGGAGAAGGAATCTTCTTCAAGCCCCTTAAGGCGTCCTGACTTACATTTACATATATTTATCTACCAGTCATGAATAGTACTTTACTTATAAATTGTCACTGCTTTTGCGAAACCGGTTCTTCTGGATTTTTAGACGCTAACAGGATTGCTGACCACTCCAGCATTCCATGCAGCATGTAGCCTATCTTTTCTTTGGCATCATGCCTTGATTTAGTCATGCTTGTGAGATATGTACAGTTCCTGGCCCATTTGTGTGGCTATGAAAGTTGGCTTCCCCTCGACAGTGATTTCATTTAAGCTGAGTCTCATCTTTAATCCAGCGATCATAAGCAACCTTGTGATGTAGTTTTTCATTAGCACTGCTCAGCTGGGCAGTTTTTATAGATAGCCCTCCCAACTTGCCCACAGAAAAATAGAAGATTATTATTGTATTCTTCCTTGCTTTGACCTTAGTTCTATGATCATATATATGACTTCTTGAGGATCCAACAAGAATATAAAATTGCTTGAATCGATATCTGATATCCAAATAATTACCGGTAAAAAAGCACCTAGAATTTGGAGGAGAAATATCGACTAACTGATGATTGACAGGAAAAAGGAGCAAATCACATCAGAGTAGGCTACTGCCAGACACCCTTTAACTTTAAGCATTGATAATATGCTGAGCAAAAATTATGTACTTTAAGCCTACTTGGAAGAGATCTCTTCCACAAGACTACCCAAAACACAATTTCTAATGCAGTCCCCACATTGTTTGCTACAATATGGAGCCAAAATTATTTGTGCTACCCCTAAACGTTAAACTAAAAATGGAGAAAGGAAATGGCTTGAATTGTTTTTAATAGGTAGCGTAAACACGGCCTCGCGGGCACTCGCGGCCTTCCGACCGCGTGGTATCGGTAAAAACGGGTTAATTCCGATCGCTGTTTCTTTTCTCTTTCGCTATAAAACACCAAGTGCCATGCACCTTCTAAAAGTTCAGTTTTTCCTCGTTACAATGGTGTAAGTTGTTTTTATGTCCGATTAGTAGGAGCTGGAGAATCGCCGATGAAAGCGAAGCCCCTCGCGGTCGGAATGCGTGTTCGGCCGGTTTAAAAATTGACTCGGGTGCATTCAAATGCTTCGCGGAACGAGGAATGATTAAATACCGTCTTTTCATTAGGGGAAAACTGTAGAGCTTTAAACAGGCTTTCCCGTGGTATGTGTTTTGCCTTTGGCTTCTAAATAGAAAGCTTTTAAAAATACTGTCAAAATGTTTAAAGGTCACTTTTTACCCATAATATGTAAAATAGCGGCTTAAAAAATATATCTAATATTTAAAAGATCAGCTTATTTTCTATTAGAATAAAGTAATCAACTTGGAATTATTTTTCATCAATCCTTCCGCGAGACTCAGAAAGCATGTGACCCCGCACGCGGGGTACACTACAGTATAGAGCCGACTCTCTCGCCGCGGGGCGCGGTGCGGCGCCGGCGGGGTCAACGCTCGGTGTTTTTGTCGAAATAACGACAGATCATCGTGTTTGAAGTAATAAAATACAAATTTGTAATGATCTCACAGTCTTGAAAAAAATTAGGCTCCATATATTTGTTATAGTAATTGTACTCTGTTAATGTGGAGATGTTTAGTCTCTCGGTACTCTTTTATTGTCTGTCAAACATGGGGTTGCAGCCAGTGACTGACTTTAACAAATTTGGTCAAATTTTAAACAACTACCATTTTCTTAAAAATTGACTGAGAAGTTAAAGAATGGTACCAAAATGCTCAGTGGATATAGGCCTTTCAAATGGAACTGATAAATTTGGCATACAATTACTTTGAAAATTTAGTTTCTGGTACCTATTTTTAGATAGAGTATGTCAGTTTCAATATTTATGTCTAACATTTTTATGGTTTTTGACTTCTCTATGTTGTTGGCAAGGCAACAGCTGAGGTGGGCTCGTTTGCTTCTTCATGGTGCTCCTGACCACCCACACTATGCCCAACACAGGTGTTTTTTGACAGAGATTCATGGCACATTAATTCACTTAATGAAATAGGCATAAAGGCAAAGGCCCCCAAAGAACCTGCATACATTTTTTATATGAGTATACTTTTTGCTTTCCACCCGTATATTTTACATATAATGTAGTCTAGATGGATAACTCAGACGTATCAGGGATTGAGAAATGTGCTCAACACTATAATTCGGCTGCCATTGTGAAAAGTATCCAATATCGATACAAAGAGGAAGGATGGATAGTGCATTCTCCTTGTTCGATGTTAAAAGTTGTTGATGGCCCTTCAACGAAAATGCAAACCCTCTAATGTCGGATCACAATCAAGATGATGTAACAAACATTAGACAAGACACTAGACACTGCATGCCACCTACCCCTCTTGTGTAAGTTAAATTCCATCTGTGTAATGGCATTCCTATCCATACCTTCTAGTTCAAACAACCACACGCACATGCACACAACACAAACTCACGCACCGTACAGCCCATTTAGTAGCAAAGAAATTCTAATGACTTACGCGCACTGGTAATGTGCGATGATAATGTGTCACAATACCAGCAGTGCGTGGTCGAATCATGTAGCTTGATACTCTCTATATTGATAGGTGTGTTGTTTTCCACTGTGCACGCAAGACAATTTGAATTTGAGACAGTTGTGGTTGTAGGAACAATCAGATGAGCTGTTCAACGAATCGATGTGCACTTTCGAGAAAACAGGGTGTTGCCCGTACAAAGAAAATATAGCAGTTCAGTCAGGGAATAGCATATTGTACAAGCTATTCCTGATATCGTATTTTGTGTGTTTGTATTTAACTGTGCACTCATCAATATAATGAATTCAAAGAAACTGGCATTTTTCTGGCCGTTGGGCAATTTTAAAAAAATTGTCTTTTTTGGCTCAACACCTTTAATGTCCAGTAAAAAACTCGTTTCAGTGTGGAATTTACTGGAAAACGTTTATCTAAGGCAAAAAAATGTACATTTGTAGTTTGCAAGAACACTCAAGCTTTGGATATCATCAAACTTTGGGGGCCATTTTCTCACAAAGTTTACCTCTATCACCAGATGACCCCCGCCTGATTGAATCGTAAATTTCTCGATTTTTGTTCAAAACAGATGCATGGGTATTTTCTACATCAAATCCCTGATAAATAATCAAGCTTTAAGACATACTGATAACTCCATATGCCCAAAAATTGACGAACGCCTGAATACGCGTCTTGACACATTTGCCTGCATACTTGAGGCCATGACCATTATGTTTTATTAGCAACAGGACTAAGTGTAACTGAACTGTTCCACAAGTATGTTATGCATACATCGTCTGCAGCACTGGAGAGTGTTCTGAAATAAGAGTGTTTATTTAAATGCAATTTCCTATCCCCCCCCCCATTCCCCAACTTGTTCACCTCTCACAGACTGACCAGTTACACAGCAGGACATCTTCAGTGCCTGTTCTGCTGCATTTTAGGAGGCTGAGTTGAGAAAGGTCACTGCATGATGGCTGGGGAGGACTACCACTATGGGGAAGACGATGACTATGGAATTGTGAGTTTGCATTTATTTTTGACACGCTGCAGAACATTATAAGGTGTACTAAGAATTTAAAGGAATATAAGTTTTCCTCCCAAATATTTTTGTGCATTTTTAGAAACCATAAAAGCTGCTACCATTATATAATCAAAATAAAATAGAACTGATTTTGTAAACATTCACTTTGCAACATTTACGAGGAGCTAAAATTAGTTTGAACTCCTTAAAAAGAACATAGTTATCAATGCTTTGTGAAGGGGACTTTGTGGTCTAGAGGTACAGTGTTCGCCTCTCAGTCAAAAGATCAAATCCAGCCAGCGAAGAAAAAGTTTTTCTTCTCTGAAATGTTCTTCTTTGCCCTCCTTTCCTGTTCTCTAGTCCTGTTCCGTCATGTTTTCCTCACCACTTTCTCCCCCTCTTCCCCACCCCCAACCTCTGTGCTTCTCTCTTCATTACTCTTGACTCTCTTTACTGCTATACCCAGCTCCTTCTTACTGTTGACTTTCAGCCTCACCTCTGATCTTAGGGTAGGAAAGGTCTAACCTCTAGTCTTCTCAGATAAGGGCGAAAAAATCTTGGAGGTCCTGTGTGCTAGTTGTGTGTGTTAAAGATCCCTTGTGACTTGTAATTTTCTTTATTATTGCATTTTGTAAAATTGTACTCATACTCTTTTTAAAAATTTTTTTATTTTTCCCCCCAGAACCCATATGAAAGTTTTATGAAAAAGCATCTCCAGCATTATGGCTATTACACAGGTAAGGTTTTCAACCATACATTGTGTATGTGTGTGTGTGTGTGTGTGTATGTGTGTGTGTGTGTGCGTGCACGTGTGTGTGTGTGTTCATGCGTGCGTGCTTGTGTGCATACATGTGTGCATGCATGCGTGCGTGTGTGTATTTTTTTCTGTCCAGGCCCTGTCTATAATTTTGTCTTTCCTAGGGTTTTTTTCTTTCAATATTTGACATTTGCTATTTTTGTTTTGCTGCTCCTCACTCACTGTCTTTTTTTGGGGGATGAAATTCCTGGTGGTATATTTTCTCCCTCAATGCTTACTTTTTTCTAACTGGAATAGTGAGATGGTGGAAGTTACGGGACTTTAGTTCCAAAACAGGCCTTGTCATAAACAACTGAACATTACTCGTCTTGATTTCGTACCTTCACTAGTATTTTCAAGAGCTGAAATCATACTACAGCAAATATGCAATGTTACAGTGACAGAGACAGTTGCATTTGTAATACAGTCGAACCTGCCATGATGGCCGCCTATTATAAGACGGTCACCTCTATAAGACGGCCACCTGTACAAACGGCCACTTTCAATTCCCCCCCATGCATTCTTTTCTATATAATATATAATTTCACTGTGTGAAACGGCCACCTGTCAAACGCGGCCATGGCCACCATATTTTAACACACAACCACTATCACACCAAACAATAACACCTGTCTCAGACGGCCACCTTAGTGAGTTCATTACATTTTGTAATAAATTATGCTTTGGCCCCTGGCATTGAGGGAGAGCTGTCATCTGTAACAAAGTAACAATGGATGTCAACATGAACTTGTGACTGAAGCGTCACGCATTCTCTGAGTGGTGGTGACCCATGTGTTTGTTGTAACATGGCATTCGGTCTTACTCGTCTGACACTTTCGTTTTATTGTCACCATTGCACAAAATCAGCAACAAAATAAATAACAACAGCAACAATATGGCTACCTTCGGTTAGGACCTCAGAAGGGAATCGTTTGTTTTCTTCATCTTGATCAGTCCTGCCTAAGACGGCCACCTGTCTTATACCCCACTTTTCTCCTTGACAATAGGTGGCCGTCTTACACAGGTTCGACTGTAGTAGGAAGCAGATAGCAATGTTCTCTTTTATAATTCTTATTGCCTCTGGTGAACACTTTTTTCTTTTCTTTTTTACTTTCCTTAACCTTTTTAAACCAATGCTTCATTCTGCATCTCTGACCTGGTTTTTTTCATGTAAAACAATAGCTTAATGAATTGATTAGTTATTTGACAAAGGAGAGTTTGTACTCTTCCCTTTTTTTCTCCGTCCCTCCCAGTGTTCATTTACTGTGGTCTCCTTAGTTTTATTTTCAATTGCTTGACATCATGGTCAAATCAGTCGTTCATCAATATTATTAAATTGAAGAAAACCATTTTCGCCAGCTCAGCAAATTAAAAAAAAATTTTTGTTTCGAGCTCTACACATTTTTTTCTCCATCTAAAAATATATTCCTGCTTGGATTTTACTGAAAAACATTATCAAAGGCATAAAAAAATATAAATTTTCAGTTTCCAAGGACATACTCACTGAACTTCGGCGACCATTTTCTCATTAATTTTACCTCTGATACCAGGCGACACCCACATCCTTCAGTCACAACTCTTTGGACTGCTGCTCAAGATGGTGGGTATTTTTTTCATCAAAATTAAGACAGATGAAATACCTTTTTAGATGATACCAATAATTTCAAATGCCCCAAAATTACTAAACGCCTGATTCTAGTGGGTAGTTGATGGGTGCTCTGCTCCTTCTTTCCTGTAAAAGATCTATCGTCTATCTCCCCTCCTTCTTTTTTGTGTTTGTTACTCTCTTGTAACACCTCTAATCTTCGGCACTTTTATGACCTTATTGTGTTGCAAGTGGTGTAAAACTCTTACTAAAACTAAACCTGATTCCATTGTGTTCTGGCACAATATATATATATTTGTTCTGATCCTCCATTCCACTTGGTAGAAGTGAATGCTTGTGTTGCTAAATGGCTTTTAAAAAACCCAAAACATTTACGTATGAAACATGGATGAGTGAAAGGAATTAGGGACTTACCGTGATGCGAATCTGTTTAGAACATATTCAAGTCTCTGCAAGTTAATTTTTTCCTACTTTATAATAGTGACAAAGAAAAGATAGACTCAAATAGTGTATGCTTTAAAATTCCATTATCATAGAAAGAAAGTAAAGACATGTGGCAGTTGCTTAATGAAGCGCAGTTGCCCTAAATTAGTTACGAATATAGAAACAATCTCATGAGATAAAGTGTTTAACCAGCTGAGGAATATATTACCACTAAAAGGTTGATGCTGGTTTTGATTGATTGGTTACATTCAGATCTTTTCTTTGTGAGAGGGGTTGTTATAGTACACCATGAAATCACAAGGATTATTTACAATTTTGTTCTTACACAAGGGACCTTTTGAGGATTTTTCTTGAATACTTTTGTGAGAATAGAAGGCAGTTAATCAGCTGTGATCTAAGCTCATGCTAATCTGGCTTAGAGTGGGAACTGGGGCCAGGCTGACCGTTATTGTTTCTTCAGTGCTGACAGGAATTACAATCAGTTACAGGATCTCTGCTCGGCCAAGCTAGCTACTTTAGAGACAGAGGGAGACAGTAGAGTTTTGAGACTTTGTTTAGCTTTTAAAACATCAGTTGTTTTTTTTTCTATAAATGGAATTTCTGTTTTAAACAGAATTTCTTAAAGAAAATTTGCTCCTTTAGTTTATTACCTATAATATATTTGAGTTTGGCCAGTGATTCAAAAACGGTTTGTAGTTGGTTTCTATTTGTGGAAGAACTTGGGAATTTTTCGTGTTTTGTTTCTTGTGCTTTGGTGTGTAGATGTACGGTAGATATTCAGGCAGGTTTTCTGCTCCAAAAAGGATTAAAAAGGTGAATAATCCTGGGTTCACAATGACTAATCGTTCTTATCATCGAGCTTCTGAAGGGAGTATATGGCTGGATATAGACTTGTCTTTTCGGGAATCTCACAGAACTCTGTGGGAAGAGGTTGAAGAAGGTAAGAATTTAATACGAATACATCTCTGGGAAACTGCAAGTTTACAATCTCAATATAATAAAAAAGGTTAAAATTATTAATGAGGTCTATGTTTGTTAAAATTTTTCAATCTTTTTAACCCAGTTATGTGTAATATACATTTTTTCTTCTTCATCTGTCCATCGATGTCAATGACTACTAAAGCAGTGGGTGGTTGGCGGGTGCTCTGGTGTGGTTTGCTTCTTCTTTAATCCTATCAAACATCTATTGTCTTTATCTCCCCTTCTTCTTTTTTGTGTTTGTCACTCTCTTGTAACCCCTCTAATCTTCGACACTCATATAGCGTTATTGTGTTGCAAGTGGCGTAAAACTCTTACTAAAACTAAATCTGACTAAAGCAGTATTAATGATACGCCTTTGCCTGGGAGGTAAACATAGAGGAAGTACATTTTGCTCGAGTACTACTTCCGTCCCTTCAGTCTTGACTTTCTCGATATGCTCCAAATGATAAAATTAATCATGTCAATAGGTTTGGAATCAAGAAAAGTGTAAGGATGTGTCTTACTCTTTACAGGTATGATAGGGACAATGATAATATATGATTATTTTCGGAGACTTCTCCAAGGGGGGCTCTTGTGGTCTGGACGTTATGGTGTTCGCCTGTCATTCAATAGGTTCTGTGTTCGGATTCTGACAGCGACAGAACATTTTCTTCTCTAAAATGTTCCCCTTTCACCTCCTTTCCTACTCTCTAACCATGTTCTGTTGTCTGCCCCCTCCCCCCTCCCCTTTGCTTCCTCTTCTGGGCTCATGACTCTTTCTGCTGTCTTTCTACTGCTACTCCTTGGCTCTTTTTACTACTGTCTTTCAGCCACACCCCTGATCTTATGGTAGGAAAGATCTAATATCTAGCCTTCTCGGATAAGGGCGAAAAATCTCGGAGGTTCCATGTGCAAGTTGTGCACATTAAAGATCCACTGGTGGTTCTCAATCAATAAGCGTAGGCTTTAGCTGCCGCCCTTGCAAAATTCAAAATGCCTACCAAACTGAAAATGTTTATTTGTCCCGCGCACTCATATGACCTCATGCAGTCGCAAGAGTCGTCAAACACTTACAAAAACTAAAAAAAACCCTCATCTTCAATATGTGCTCTTTTGGAACAGAGTTGGTCGATAGTTACATTGTAATGCCCTTTCTTTTAGCTGCGGAGGTTCAAATCTCATTCTCAGACCAGAGCGATGTGCATAGTAGTTTTCTCTACTCCTAGTGGTGTTGGCTCATTGTAATGTGGACTGCTTTTTGCTTTTACTTTTTTCCAAGAAAATCCCAACCTGGAATTTTTGCTTGTACAATGTCTATGTCTTTTTAGAAGTTGTTATATAAAAGAGACTTTTAATTTATTTTAAGAACAGGGTGGGGGTGAGGGGGGATAGAAATTTACTTTTATTTAAAAAAACAACGAACCCATGCAAGATTCCTCTTTAACCCTCTCCGTACATCGTTTTTTACTCTCGTTTCTCTACGACGTGGGGAACTCTGTGCCACCACTTTCTAAGAGGAAATTTACTTGTCAATTCAATCCATACACTTTGCATAGTAGTCTGTCCAAATGATTTTTTGAGAAAAACTGAAAGTTTCAAAGAGATCTTCGTTCTCGAAGCATTCTACTCAAATATGAGGAATACAACCCCGGGGGTACAAAATGACCCCAGGGCATACGGATAGGGTTAAGTGAAGGCACGTTTGATTACCTTCTTTTTTTTTTTTCCTTCTTTTTCAGGGAAGAACCAGAACTACAAGAACCAGTTCCAGCAATACGCAGAGTGGGAGAAGAACTACGCCTACAACCTGAGCAGCAGCAGCGACGACTCTGCCTCCGACTCGGACGAAGATGATAAGAACGCAGGTAAACTATAGGCCTACTAAACACTGCTGATACAGATCTGTTGTTTTGTCGCCTTTTGTGCTATGTGGGAATTTTTTATTTATTTTTTTTTTAATTTTAAAAATGTTTTATTACATTTGCGCTTGAATTTGATCTTTGTTTTTAGTTATTATTATTATTATCGAAGGCTGGGTGTACGACTCTGCTGACAAACACCTTTGTGCAATAAGGCCGTGGGTGGTTAGCGGGTGCTCTGGTGTTTTTGTTTTTTTTTCTTCTTTCCTGTCGAGCATATATCGTCCTTTTCTCCCCTTCTTCTTTTTTGCGTTTGTTACTCTCTTGCTACACCTCTTAATCTTCGGCACGTATATGATCTTATTGTGTTACAAGTGCTGTAAGACACTTACTAAAACCAAAAAAGCAGTTGGGCGCTTGTCGTAGTTTTGCACCCAGCCATAGATTTTTTGTTGTTGTTTTTTATAACATTTATTTTAATCCAACTGCTGTAGTCCTGCTAATTGGTGGTAGAAAACATCTAAAAAATGGCAGTGTATGGTGTTTTGTTTTTTATGGGGGTTTTTGAGTCAGAGTTCAATGTTGTACTAAACGGTGCTATGTGTTTGTGAGTGTTGCTTTGTGTTGTGAAGAGAGAGAGAGTTTAACACTTTGCCATCGCAAGGCTCATATAGTAAAAACCCTTGCCATCAAAGGCAAAGACATTTTGGGGAAAATCCAAAGAAACTGGGTGGTACACATCGCTGATCGGCGAGATGTGACTGCAAAGTTTTAAGTCAAGACTATATTTAGAATGTTGAGTTCACTTTCCTCCGTCTTAGTTTGCAGCATAATTTGCTTTCATTCACAGTGTAGCTGCTGTGAGCGTTATAGTGAATCCTCATCATTTCTTTTCTGTACTCAAACAAACAAAACAAAACAAATTTCCACCGTGGCAACTTTTCTTCTCAATAGCTGTCTTGAAATATAATTCTGCTCAACTGGTAGAAGTAAAATGATATATAAATATATATATATATATATATATATATATATATATATATATATATATATATATATATATATATATATATATGTATGAATTTATCATGAGAAAATAAAATGACCTGCTTTGTATCGAAGAAGACACATACGCTAAATAAATAAGATACGATAAAACGAAGGGATACAGTGAAAGAAAGGAAATTTTCTTTTCAAAATTTACCGTTGTTGGACATACTTTCAAATATCTCTCAAATCATTTCGGTATAATACAAGGATAATATTGGAATAATGCAAATTGTATTGTATTCAATACACATTATTAAAACAAGATTGATCAGCCAAGGGATGATCATTGAGTTACTTTTTCTGAAATCTGTTTCTCACGAATTTTGAAGAATATATCGGATGTTTCGGTGAGAAAAAAAACCCAAAACTATGGATTGCAGCAGTTTAGTATCCGCTGCTGTGGGACGCTTGAGTTGGATTTTTAAAAATTGAATTTGTACAATGGGATTTTTGCTTGTGCATGATGGGATTTGGCCTGTGTCTAATAGCATTGGGAACTTGAATTATAAATATTGAGATATTTACCCATTTTACTTTGTACGTATAGATTGATTATTAATAGTGCGCACTAACTTCTTCATGTTTTGTTGTTTGGTGAAATCAGCGTTGCATATATGACTGTGTTTATCTGTATGGTGTCGGCTGTTCAGAGATTTTATGTGCCTATGTGTAGAAGCTGGGTTTTTTATGTGTTGGTGTATGATTGTGGGCATGCTCGCATGTCCATGGTCCTCTGTATGTGTGTGTACTTACATATGTGTGTGTGTGTGCGCCTCTGTGTGTAATTTGATGCATGTGTGCACAAGATTTACACCAACCTTCCTACCAAATATAGCTTAAAATAAAAGAAAAAATAACAAAGTGTGGTCAGTAGAGGTGTATTGGTGATGTTAGTTTTAGTTTTGTTCTTCGCTGGCTAAAACAGAAAGGATTTTAAAAAGTCTAAAAACGAGAATGATATTATAAAATTGATAAAGAACAATCTGTATCGTATTAGTTTGTTTGCACATTTGGTATGATTTTTTTTTCTTCTTCTTCTTCTTTTCCATTCCGTAAATCATCTGGTTTTATCTTTTTCTTTCTGAGACCATTCTTTCGGTCATGATACTGACTTGCTATGCCAGTTACGATAGAATACTTGAGTTTTCTTTGTGCTACTGTTCAGTTATAATACTTGAGTGTGTAACTATGTTAGTTATGACACATGAGCTCGCTTTGTGTCACTGTGTCAATTATGATACATATGTCTTTTGTGTGTCACTATTTCAAGTATGACTCTTATGTTTTCTCTTTTGTCTTTTGTGTGTCACTATGACCGTTTTATGTAATATTTGAGTTTTCTGTGTGTCGATGTGTCAGTTTTATGTAATATTTGAGTTTTCTGTGTATCGGTGTGTCAGTTTTATGTTATATTTGAGTTTTCTGTGTCGGTGTGTCAGTTTTAGGTAATATTTGAGTTTTCTGTGTGTCACTATGTCAGTTTTATAATATTGAGTTTTCAGCGTGTCAGTTTTATAAAACTTGAGTTTTCTGTGTGTCACTATGTCAGTTTTATGTAATATTTGAGTTTTCTCTGTGTCGTTGTGTCAGTTATAATACTTGAGTTTTCTGTTTGTCACTATGTCTGTTTTATGTAATATTTGAGTTTTCTGTGTGTCGGTGTGTCAGTTTTATAATACTTGAGTTTTCTGTGTGTCGCTGTGTCACTCGTACAGATGGATCGGGGTTAAGCTCTCTGGAAGACATCACGCCCATTGAGCACATTTTAGCTGCTCGCTGTCCCAGTAGCTGTGCCAACGACAAGAGAAAGCCCGGTGCCAACTATAATATATCTTTATATAAAATAGTATCTTTTTTTTTTCTCTCTCTCTTTCTTTCTGCGCATTTTCCCGCAATTTTGTGCTTTTTAAAAAACGTTGAATAAGTCAAGAAAGCAAATCCCCTATCTGGCGTATACCCGGTAAATGTAACTTATAAATAATTTAAAATTATTTTGAGTTTTTTAAAATGTTTTTTTTAGGGGGGGGGGGGGACTTTGAAGGATGGTGCAACAGTTTCTCCCAGGCTATATGGTTTTCATGAATTGGTCATAACATTGCCTGACTTTAAAAAGAAGTAAGACGTGACTCTGGAAGCGGATAGTGCTGAGAAATCGGACAAAAATTATGACAATATAAAGACGAAATTGTCTACGGTAGTCTCCTACTGATTTTTGGCTGCTCTGTTATCTCTGAAAACAGTTTAAGGTAGTACAAATTATGTATTTAGTGCCGTACGCTGACGAATTGCCTTTTTTCTTTTTCACAACAGTTTGGAGTACAATGTAGTCTATGGTTTTCTGTTTTTTTATCCGTTGAGCATAGGGAATGACATTCTCTTCAGTGTGCAAGATCAACAGTTGATGTACTGTTCAAAATAGTTTGAATATTAAGAAGAAAGCCAGAAATCGTTGATTTCTCGAAACTGCTGTGGTTAAGAAAAAGGCGTTTTGTCAGCGTACGGCAGTAAATTAGTTATAGTCCTCGGCGTATTTGAGAGATTGTAAAGTTATGAGGTATAATTGCTAGCCGATTGTATATCAGCTAGTATTATATCGGTATCTGTGGTGTGGCGGTTATAAGGCTCTTCACTGTTGCATGCGAAAGACATGAACTAATTCGATTTGCGAACGAGGAAGCTTTTTCCATTAGGTAGATCTAGTGCTAGGGGTGAATGGAGAACCATGATCGCTGATGTATGTCACAGATCTGACACTTGGTGGTGGTTATGAACATGATGATGGTGGTGATGATGATGATGGTGATGGTGATGGTGATGATGATGATGATGATGATGATGATGATGATGATGATGATGATGATGATGATGACTATGATGATTGCTAGCCAAACGCATCCACACAAGTAGACTGGTGTTCGTGATATTATGGTCAGGAGTCAGGGCCGTATGTGGCTGTTGCTCCCAGAAGGCATGAGTTCGATTCCCGAGTGAGGAAGTATAAAAAAAAGAAATTTTAATCGAGGTTATCTCTGCTAGGATGCCGTATCCCACCAAATCCGCTGGGGCCTGGCTTTGACAGGTGGGACCGAAAGAAACTGTCTGAATTGTTTCGATGGAGGTGTAAGACCTTAAAATTTCCCTATTGCCTAACTCACATCGTGGGTGGTTGGCAGGTGCTCCTGGTGTGGTTTGCTCTTTCTTCCCTATCAAACACCTATCGCCCTCATCTCCAATCCTCCTTTTATGTGTTTGTTACTCTCTTGTTACATGTAACACCTTTAATCTTCGGCACTTCTATGAAATAATTGTGTTGTAAGTGCCATAAAACCCTCAATAAAGCACATAACTAAATCACGCAGATAGGTTGTTTCCGTATAGGATAGTAATTTAAAAAAGTGTAATTGCAGATATTTTACGCCTGTAACTATAACAGCTAAACCGCAGACGCAGGTACGCAGGAGAGGACTGTACTTAAATTAAAAGAAGCTCAGTAGATTATCTTGCTCTTACTTTATAATTTTGTCCTTCCTCTTGTACCATCTAGGGCGTCAAGGGGAGAATTTTAGAGCTTTCTATCTCTGGCGAGCTAGATGGCCTGGCTGGGTGGAATGTTGTGGGTCCTCAGGGTTTCTTTCACACCTTCCTCGATCCAGGTCTTCCTTGTTGGTCTTCCTTGGTCTTCCTCTTGCCTTGTGCCCTCATATTTTTTTGGAAAGAATCAGAGTGGCCTATCTCTTTGTTTTGCGAGCTTGGCAAAGAATAGATGGGAAGGGAACTGAGCGTTTCTTGCTTGAGAAAGATGCGTTATCTGTTATAGCGGTGGTTGTCTTTACCTAAAGACTTCACCATAAGTTAAGGACCACTTGCCAACACTTTGCACGACCTGCACGTGGACGTTCTTGGCTTATTCAGTGGCTTGATGACGCTGCCTCAAGCGGACAATGACAGAGTGTGAC